TTACATAGGACTAGGTGTTAAAGCCATTCAGCTGCACCATTGTAGTGGATGGCAGGATGAGGGCCACCAGGACAAATTCTGCTTTGTCACACCTCTAATACTCCACAGAGTATTTATAGATTTCTCTCATGTCCATTAATCAATTTATCCTCACAACATACCAGTTGACAGGGGAGAGTTATTGCCTTTTCACAGGTTGGGAACTGAAAGATGGAGAGATCATGGCAAGCCCCTGGTCACAGAGGAATTCAGAGGAGGAGCTGGAAACAGAACCCTGATCTCTTGTGTCCCATTTTGCTGCCTTAAGCACAAAATCACTCTTCCTTGTCTGAAATCAAGAGAATTCCCATGGATTTACTCTGGTGTAGCTGAAGACAGAATCTGATGCATCATATCTTCTTTAAAATCATTCTTATTTCTATCTATTTCATTTTCTCAGCCTATTGAAATCTAGGTGGTGGGTTTATATCTTGACAAAGAGGGGAGCCAACAAGATTCCACTTGGCAGATGCGAAATTTCCCCACTAGTTGCGGTGCTGAATAATAATAATAATAATAATAAAATCTTTGCTTTAGTGTTGCTTTTGAAATGTAAGCTGGCTGGGATATAAGCCAAGCATTTTTTATGTTTGATTAAATCTTTGGTCCTAGATATCAAATAATATTCAACCACAATATTAAGCTACATGATTTTCGTATCTGAAAGTTACATTATTTGCTTGGACTTTTAAACGGATTGTCAACTGGTATTGAACTGTGCCCTTAAACTAGAGGCGGGGATCCCAGACTGCCACGTGATTGATACATCTGTATACACAGAATGTTTTCAGGACTGTGCCTACTTCATGTTTTTCATAGGATTTGAATTGGAAGGCAGTTGGTACTATTGTATGTACTATGTTGTACTCACTTGATTGCAACATACTGTTGACTTCTACTAATGAACAATTATGTTTGCCAGTGGCAATTCCTGCTACAGGGGTTCTGAAATGTGTTTACTTCATGGCTTGTCTAACTTATTAAGAACATTTTTTTTTTTTACATTACTGCTGGTAAAAAGCACTAACCCATTAATAAGTACAGACATTTTTTTATTTTAAAAATAATTATACTCAACTGAACAGTGTTTTTAAGCTATTTAGGCCCCAGACTAGTCCAGTAGGTTCAGGACAGAGAAAGAGGACAGTAGGGGTGGATAAATATGCATGATTCAGGAACCACCCCTTGTATACTTGGTCCTGGGTTCTGGGTCAAGAAGCAGGCAGCCCCGTGCAAGCCACCGGCCTTCCCTCCCTGGTCCCACCCGAGCCCCTAATGCACTCAGACATGCAAACAACTTCTCTGGAGTGGGCTACATGTGTAGGTGGCAATCTGCCACCCCAAAACTTCTCAGCTTTTGCAGAACTCAGTTCAGTGGCATGAGCCTTGTAGCCTAGCCCTATGGAGGCACAAACTGATCCACCACTTCACACAGCATGTAACCTTCTGGAGAATGGGGAAATAGGGCAGGGAGAGCTACGAAACAAGAGTGAAAAGAAAGTAACACCCCGAGATCACTTAAAAAAACCCAGAGAAGAAAAAGCTTGAGAAGGAAAAAAGAACTGTAGCAAAGGGGAGGGAAAGAAAATCAAGAGAGATGGCAGAAACTTTGTCCAGAAAAGGCAGTAGAAGGACACAGGGCATGGCCTCCCTGCCAATGCCTCTCAAACAGGGACAGGGCTCCACTAGACCAAGTCTGAACTCTCCCTCTCACAGGGGGCAATTATGAAGTTCACTAAGGTTTCAGAGTAACAGCCGTGTTAGTCTGTATTCGCAAAAAGAAAAGGAGTACTTGTGGCACCTTAGAGACTAACCAATTTATCTGAGCATAAGCTTTTGTGAGCTACAGCTCACGTCATCCGATGAAGTGAACTGTAGCTCACGAAAGCTTATGCTCAGATAAATTGGTTAGTCTCTAAGGTGCCACAAGTACTCCTTTTCTTTTTGCGAAGTTCATTAAAATTACTTATATTAGTATTCTCCATTCATTCAAAAGCATCATCAGCCAAATCAAGAATGGGTTTTATAGCTTCGTCTTCTTTTGTCTATAATACATGTTTTTTTTAATTCCCTGATTTTTGTATTAGATGCTGAGCTGGGTCTTTTAATCTTTACATGCTGTTTAAAAAAACCTTCTCTTTCCTATCATCTTGTATAGTGTTTTCACAGCATCAGGAGGAGAAGGCAGGCTTTATAGTTAAGGTGCAGGGACTGGTTGTTGAGAGATCTGCTTCTACTTCTGAAACAGACTTTCTGTGTAGCCTCGGGTAAATTATTTAATCTCTCTGTGCTTCAGTTTCATCACGTGGAAAATGAGGTTAATGAGGTTAATGAGATTAATACTACTTACTGACCTCACATGGATGTTCTGGGGTTCAGTACATTGATGCGAGAACATCATGTTGTAATCCTTAAATAGACGATTCCTCTGGAAGTGCAAGGTAGTATTATACACACCAAAGAGCTATTTGCCGAGCCACCACCTTCTCATCACTCAGATCCCTTCTAAAACTCACTTTCTATGTGGAGCAGGGTTCACTTGGAGGCCAGCAGGTCTAGTGGGCAGGCTGCGGCTTGTCTTTCTACCCACAAAGTCCTGGGATGGACTTGCCTGATGGTCAGTGGGCCCAGCAGTCAAACTGCAGTCCGTTGTTCCCCAAATGGGTCCTGCTTCGAGCAGGGGGTTGGACTAGATGACCTTCTGGGGTCCCTTCCAACCCTTATATTCTATGATTCTATGAAATGGAGGGGGAGGGGAAGGAAGAGGGACCCAGACTCTACCATTCCACCAGGTCCCAGCTCAAGGCCCAAGGGGGAGAGGGCATGGAGTGTCTCAGATGCCTCTTTCTGGTGCACCTGACCAGCTCTCCCTGGGCCACTTCCTACCCCCCGCCCTCCGCCTTCAGTTTGGGGCGTTGTTGTAGCCGTCATCCCTCACAACAGGGAGTGCAGGAGGGGAAAGTGTCAGGCCCCCTACTCTCCTGGTTGGGATCTTACCCACAGCCCAAACCCTTCCCCTGTGCTCACTGTCCCCAGAAGCTGCAAATGGACTACCTCCCTTCCAACAGCTTCTCCTTCACTTTCCCTGCTCCCGGTCACCCACAGGCTGTGTTATCCAAATATATGTATCTATCTATAATGTGTTTGTAATACCCATACATGTTTAATGGAATCTTTAAGAATGGCACCTACCCAGAATTGGGTGAACTTTTACTGTGACTCTTGTTCTTCTGTCTCTGATTCCCCCTATTGTTGTTTTTACTTGCGTAGGCATGTCCAAATTAGGTTCTTTAGGACAGGAATCATGTCATGCCTTTTTATTTGCTCTGGAAGGTTCCTAGCACACTTTTGGGCGTTGTATAACGAAATAATGTTATTAAAGGGTAATATTAATTTTTTTGAAAGCATTCATGCGTCAGAAACTTGCGAATTTGAATGTTTGCAGAACACACAAAGGCTGCAAACTCGGCTATGTTTGATTTTGAATTAATATTGATGGAAAAATGTTGTAAAGGATTTGCTCAGCTTCAGTTAACACCACATTTATGGATCCCATATGATTAGTGCCTTTCCTTCCAGTCCCTTTTCCCTTCTTTTTTAGTGGATTCCCTCATTTCTATTAATCTCTTTCAAAGTGGGAGGCTTTTAAATATTTTGACTACGTTTTAATTCATTTTATCATGTTTTGCTGTAGTGTGCTTTATACATGAAATGATTATTTTCTACACTAATTTAAAAATATTACTCCTGCAGAAGAAGTCCAAGCTATAGATGCTGTTTGCAACCCTAAGACTCTGAGTCTGCAAATGCTAACATATCTGCTTAAGTTTACACAGTATGAGACGTACCATCATAGTTTTGCCACTGCCACTAATGGGGTCAGGATTTCACCTACAGTCCATAAAATTAAGTGAATACATCAATCCTTGTAGGATCAGGGGCTAAGTTTATTGAACCACACTAATGCTTACGCTGATCAGAACCCTGAAGGACTAAATGTGAGTTCTTTCCTTGTTTTTTGTTTTTTTTTTATTATGTGTGCCAACCTACCAAGACAATGAAGAGTGGACCAAGACAGGGAGAAAACTATGAACTGTGGAATAAGCAGCAATCCAACACACCAGCTGAATAAACATTAACAACATTTTTGCATTTGATCTTTAGGACATGTAGGGCTAAATGCCATGGATGGATGCCTAGATGATGGGGGGGGGGCGGTGAGCTAGGGTGCCAGGAACCTTTCCCACTCTCTTGTATTCCTGTGCTGGGGCTAGACACAGTCCTCGGGTTCAATTCTGTGCTGCACCTCCTGGAGGCACAGAACACAAGGTGCAACCCTGGGGGATGAGGGGCAGAGATGGCTTTACATCACCTTTGCACCCTCTGGTTTCTGGGCTGCTCCAAGGGGACTGAAATACCTATGGCAGTCCTATGCTGTGCCTGCTTTGGGGGAATTCTTCCTTGCCCCCTTGGGGTGCATTAGTGGCCCCTATATTCTGCCAGAGCAGTGAATGTGGGCTGGGCTGGAGGAATGAATCTGTTCCCTATTGTCCTCAAATGGGATGCAAAAGCAAAGCATGTGGGTTCACAGCTTGGCCTCTACCCTTTGCACTGGCCAGAGCACCCTACAAAAGAGTAGGGTGTCTGATCAGGCCAGAGGTCCAGCGCTCCCAGGTACTCTGACTTGTGTGGCACATTGCCATTGTACACTGGTTGCGAAAATGGACTTCTAGAGCTAGGGAAAAAAGCAGAAGTTTTTGAAACTTGTTTTCAATGTAGCTAAAAGGTTATAATGGACACGATGGCAATATAAGTGTCTTACACCCCATGAAAGATGCAGGAGGAGACGTGTATTACAGCAGAGAGACTCCAAAGAGAGTTCGTTGATGCACGGATGTGCCAACCCATTTTAATTGCTAAGTTTTATTTCTCACCATTTCTCTTTGTTTATTTTCTTTTAGATTCCACTGATGAGGGATCCTGGCTGGATCCGAAATGTTTGGACTCGTAACTTGAACGTGAGTGTGATTTCAATTGTTACCGCTATTTATTTTAACTGTAGTACCTACAGGTGGGGCTGGCGCTGGGCCTTGTGTGGCTCAGTCTGCAGTAAGATGCACAGGTCCACATTCAGCTCCTGCCCCAGCTTCCATTATCCCAACACCCCATATCCCAACATAGCTGTCTGCATGAGATACCAACACCTCCCTGCTGGTTGGTGAGGCTGTGCAAAAACGGGTGACCCCCTAATGTGATTGTCACTAGCAGGGGAGGGGAAAATGGCAGCAGCAGGGAAACTTTGAAGAACTTGCCCTGAGAGAGGAGAATAGAATCAGACACGAGAACCATTGAACAGGGATGATGTGGGGAGAGTTCCACTTCACAGGCGTGGTTAGGGCCACCATTGCATTGCCATTACAAGGAGCGATGCGTTAAAACAGGAAGATCGAAGCAACAACGGAAGAATTCTGTCAGTGTCTTTCGAATATATTTCTTAAGAAAAATAAAATGCTGCCGGGAAATACTCTCACTGTGGTTGAGGGGCAGGAAGCTTAGAGGCAGGACTGTCTGAAATCTGGTATGGGAAGTCCATGACCCAGAGCTACTAGGGAACAACTCTGCTCTCGGGTGTTGTGGCTGACTCATCTTTGTCTCACGATGCTCCTTCTGTGCAGGCCAGATGGCTTGTACAGCCCAGCAGCCTTTTTGTTTAGACAGGACAGATTGGGGTCAGGATTTCAATTTACACCAGTTGATGATTTAGCCCTATATGTTTAATCTGGGATTGACAATGGAATGAAGATGCTGTGGACAGGTGGATGACTGGAATAGACAGAAAGAAAGCTTAAGGTGGACCAGAGCTGGAATGGGTTAGATTTGGACCTTCATCTCAGTGGATGAGCTAGGTAAACAAAGCAATGACCTGGGAATCCAAAACTCCTGCAGAACAACAGTCAGGAAAAGAGCTCAGATGCTAGAGAGAAGCTCAGACGATACTGTAGCTTCTGGAAATCAGATTACTGGTAACTAAAGAAAGTCTGAATCAATGCTCCAGATCTAACCTCTTCACCCCAAAAGTGAAGTAAGTTTCTGGAAAAATGTGGATCTGCAGCCAGATGAGATTCCAAACCTTCCAACACAATCTCACCTGCACTTGTGATATGCACCCATATTCAGTGGTGAGCTGGAGCCGGTTCGCACCGGTTCGCATGAACCAGTTGTTAAATTTTGAAGCTGGTTTAGAACCAGTTGTTAAAGGGGTGGGCAAACTCCAGCCCGCAGGACTGTCCTGTCCGGCCTGCCTGAGCTCTCAGCTGGGGAGGCTCCCCTGAGAATCCCTTTTTAATTTTTACTCACCTGGCAGCACTCCGGGTCTTTGGCGGCTGGTCCTTCACTCGCTCCAGGTCTCTGGCGGCACTTCGGCGGCGGGTCCTTCAGTACCGCCGAAGAGCCGGAGCGACTGAAAGACCTGCCGCCGAAGACCCAGAGTGACTGAAGGAACCGGTTCTTCAGCTTTTGGCAGCTCATCACTGCCCATATTTGTTTGTTCTATAAGAATGGAGAATTTATTTCTGCTATTCTGCACACTGAAATACTGTACTCCAAGTGTAGTTATCAATGGTTTGCTGTCAAACTGGGAGAGAATATCTAGTGAGGTCCCACAAGGGTCAGTCCAGTACTATTCAATATTTTCATTATTGACTTGGATAATGGAGTGCAAAGCATAAAATTTGCAGATGATATAAAGCTGGGAGGGGTTGCAAACACTTTGCAGGACAGGATTAGAATTAAAAATGACCCTGGTAAATTGGAGAATTGGTCTGAATTCAACAAGATGAAATTCAATCAAGACAAATGCAAAGTACTTTACTTAGGAAGGAAAAATCAAATGCAACTACAAAATAGGGAATAACTGGCTAATTTGTAGTACCGCAGAAAAGGATCTGGGGGTTATAGTGGATCACAAATTGAAGATCAGTCAACAATATGATGCTGTTGCAAAAACAGCTATCATCATTCTGGAGTGTATTAACAGAGTGTTGTAGGTAAGACACAGGAGGGAATTGTCCTGCTCTACTCGGCACTGGTGAGGCCTCAACTGGAGTACTGTATTCAGTTCTGGGCACCACACTTAAAGATGTGGACAAACTGGAGAGGAGAGCTACAAAAATGATAAAAGGTTAAAAAATCCTGGGCATGTTTAGTCTTGAGAAAAGAAGACTGCAGGCGGGCATACCTGATAACAGTCTTCAAATATGCGAAGGGCTGATTAATTGTTCTCCATGTCCACTGTAGGTAGGATAGGAAGTAATGGGCTTAATCTGCAGCAAGGGAGATTTGGTTAGAAAAACTTCCTAACTATAAATGTAGATAAGCTCCAGAATAGGCTTCCAAGGGAGATTGTGGAATCCTCGTCATTGGAGGTGTTTAAGAATAGGCTGGACAAACATCTGTCAGGGATGGTCAAAGTTTACTTGTTCCTGCCTTAGCACAGGGGGCTGGACTTGATGACTTCTCGAGGTCTGTTCCAGCCCTACGTTTCTATAATTATGTAGTATTGGAATACATTTTGAATGTATGTTTTGTCTGAGTTAGATTTTGATTTCCTCTTTCTTTGGTATCATTGTTGTTCCATATAGCTAGACTCCTCACCTTTTGTCCTGTGTACTACTGGAATGTTATATATAGCAAAATGGAACAGAAGGGGAGAAGTGGTCTTTTAAGAATAGCTGCCTTCTAAATGTTGCATTGAAATGAAATCATAGGAGATTAGGAAACCCCACTCTGCTCTAGGAAACAGAGGATCTCAAAACATTTGACACACAAAAAATCACTCTGTACACTAAAGTGCATCTGATCCTGGAATGAGACATGTCATCTGCTTAAAAGCACACTACGACGCTACCCAATGTCTTGGAACAGGAAGGGAAGAACACAATATACAATTGGATTCACAAGGGGAGTTAAGGTAAACAGAATTAAATGAGTCAAATTGTAATTTGGCCCAGGCCCCTGTGCAGTCATTGGATTACATGATTCCATCCACACCGGAGAATATTTCAATGAAAATTCTGAGAAGGAGCTGGGCTGTCATCTATGGTTGTAGGGGACGGACATCTGCTATCACCATTCTGAGTACTTAGGAAGCTTTGTTTTGTTATGACCATATTGCAGAATGTGAGTGTGATGGGGAAAACCTGGATGTCCAAAAAGTGTAGCTCAGAGGCAGTCATGTATGCTGTCATGACTCTGAGCTATCTGTGGATAAGATTTTGTTTGTTTATTCTATTAATTTTATTTTCTTTCCCTGTTTTCTGAGAAGGCCTTTGGGTTATTCTGGTGCTCTAGAGGTAGATACTTCTGCATCTGTTTCTTGTTTTTCTATTGTTTTATCAATGTGGTGTTAAATACAGAAACATGCATTTTTAAAGTAACTTGTACAAAATATTCAAAATAGTGGGCCAGATCCTCAGCTGATGTAAATCAGCAGAACTTGACTTGTGTCAGTGGAGCTATGCTGATTTGCATGAACTAAGAATCTGGCTCAAACATTTTTAGATTGTTAGCTCTTCAGGATAGAGACTATCTTTATTTATATGTGATGTAGAGTGCTGATCATACTGGCAGTGCTAAGCAAGTAATATTAAAACAAGCTTATCTTCTATAACTAAAATCAAGTTCTTAAGGACAAAGAGTTGTTCCTAGCTGGTAGATTTACATGTGAACCAAGGGAAGTGCAGCAGGAATGGAAACAAGTCTCTGATAAGCTTCCAATTATTTCATAGTGTAAATGAGGGGTGGCCAACCTAAGCCTGAGAAGGAGCCAGAATTTACCAATGTAATATGTCAGCAGCTCCCCATCAGCTCCCCCACTCTGCTCCCAGTGCCTCCCGCCCACTGGAAGCCCCGCCTATCAGTGCCTCCCCCTCCTTCCCTGCGCCTCCGATCAGCTGTTTTGTGGCATGGAGAGGGCTCTGGGGGGGGGGAAGGGGAAGAGTGAGGGCATAGCAGGTTCAGGGAAGGGAGTGGGAAGGGGTGGAGTGGGGTTAGGGCCTGTGGCAGAGCCAGGGGTTGAGCAGTGAGCACCCCCAGCACATTGGAAAATTGGCCCCTGTAGTTCCAGCCCCGCAGTTGGTACCTATACAAGGAGCCGCATATTAACTTCTGAAGAGCCACACGTGGCTCCGGAGCCACACGTTGGCCACCCCTGGTTTAAATGAATCATGTAAAATGGATCAAACTGAAGGTTTGTTGCATAGAGAGAGCCAAAGCCTTCCCTGGCATAGTTCCACTAAAGAAAATGATTCCAGTGTACTTTCTGAGAAAAATGCTTGCACATCAGAATAAACACCCTCAAACTCATTGGCATCAGTGGTAAATATTTTCCCATTCCTCACTAAGAATGTTGACATCCATATTCTTTATTTTTGTGTCTACGTGCAAGTGCTTGCAATTACTTTTTAATTATGTACTGAATTAAATAGACCCAGAGACAATTATGCCTGACCCTTGTGGGGAAGCTTTTTCCTCATTGCATAGCCTTTTTCTTTATTGCACAGCAGGCAGAATTGCAGTTCTTGGAAAATTCCTAGGGGGTCCTGGAGGGTAAAATGGGGAGAAAATGGGGACATGTTCCCCCCCAGACCAGCCCTCTGTAGTCCTCTCCCTGGATCAGAGTCACTGCACACTGCCCCTTTACTATGGACTATCTTCTCCAGAAGATGTTGTGGTGATGAGGAGGTTTAAAGACCAATGAGCTGCCACCTCTAGGTCTTCTAAATTAATACACTGTGGGATTGAGAGCCTGAGTCCTCTTCCACTCTTTTCTCCCATCATAACCCGAAGACAAGGTCTCTGGGCGGGGCTCTCTTTTCTTTCTTCCTCTCTCCCTCAGGATGTGTCCCCAGCTGTGAAGGCCTCTTCTTCCCTCTCACCTGAGGAGATGGGGTCCTCTAAGAGAGGTTTCTCTTCTCCCATTCTGACTTTGAAGACTCTGGACAGGGCTCTAGGAAGTTGG